CAGCATCTGACACGAACTAGTATTTTTGAGTTGCCAACTAAGAGAAGTAAGTATATTGTTCAGAAATTTTAAAAGACTATCTTCTTTCTGCAAGTAAATTAAAATGAATAACATATGTTTATTCATTATGTATTCAATTTATCTTTCTGAAGGGGACATTCATGAACTTTTTAAAGTAAGACTATTTCTCATTTTTGCTGGATTAATGGAGTAAGCAGAACTTCTATTCTTATCTAGGCAGTATCTACAGAAGTAAACTAAAGCCAAGGATTGAGTAATCCTCTCTTGGTTCTATGTTTTATAGTCAGTGAATCTAGTAATTATCATGTAATGAGAAGTTCAAATCTTTTCATCCTTAATAGCAATTATTTTGACCCAAAGTATTCAAATGTCTTAGAGCCCCACTGTTTTTTCCTTCTGCAGACACAGAAACAATAAATTAAAATATTTTTTTAAAAAAATGATAAACTCATATTATTTTATGTGATAGAAGATAGAGTTTCCCTTTTTTAATTTTCCCTTCTAAAATGCAATCATATCAACTAGTGGAAACTAAATTAAAATGAAAAAAATAGTAAATAAATAAATTTCAAAGTTAGATAAAGGGAAGTTTCAATAAAATAAGCTTTTAAAAGTCTTTTGTCCTCCTATTTGCTTTTATTTCAACAAGACAGATTCCACAGGAAGTCTGAATTTTGAGGATTAATGATAATCAGGTAAACTTGATATATAATCGCTAGTTATTCTCAGTAAGTGACACCACAAACAGGATATTTTAGTTCAGCCCATCTGACTATAGTGACTAATTGAATGAGCAATGGAAATGAAGTCAACTCTTGATTTGATGCCACTTGTCTACATAACAGACTGGCTGACACCCAAAGCCCTGTGCTCAATTCTCATAAAAAACAAACTAAAATAACACAATCCTGCCATGTATCTCCTGTGATGCACAAGACATTTAGTCCAAAAGTACTTATACACGTTATCTATACTTTTCATGCCTTCAGCACAGCTATGCATAGATGTAAGGCCATAGCAATCTTATTTTATTTTCGCTCTCTGTTCCCATCTTTACTTCTCCATGAAGTACACATGCCTTAATCCCATTTAGTGGTCAATACTGTCTGTTTATATTCTTCTGTGCCCTCAAATTAGTCATAAGGTAATTGGTTCATTTTCTGCAACCACAATATCTTCATAAAGTGATGGATTGATAATTCTGATTATCTTCAAAGTGACCCCCCCAAAAAATAACTTTAAAAATCAAAAGTCACCCATAAACAGGTAAGTAACCTGCAATCAGTCAAGCTGGTTATGATACACAGAGGTTCTGTAGCTCTATTACAACTGAGTAGATAGTTAGGATCAAATACTAATATTTGCTTATCTGAAGTTATGTCAGATTCCAACTGATGAATGAAAATGGGCAAGAATCAAAGCATGTTGATTTTGGCTCTCTCTGACTTTTCCAAAGGGGATGTCAGTGGGAAGGAACACAAATTACCAAGATGTTTGTAAGGAAAGCATCTTTTAACAAAGATTTAATAAATAAGTTGGATTACAAACCATATTCTAAAAGCTATATATCTTACTTTCAAATCTGAGTGCTGTGACTGAGTGCTACTGTTCTATATCTTCTGAAAAATAATGAAAAAATATGTATATAGAGAGAGCGCAAGCACACTGTGGCTTCAGAAATACCATTGTAGCAAACAATTTTATTAATACTTTCATAAAAGTGGCATTTAGTAAAGTCTTTCTAATACCTTGATGCAATTAAAACCAAACAAAAGTCCTTAAAACCGTTCCTTTCTGTGAATTACATTAGATTTTTGTAGAATTACTTGAATATTTTTTTTACAAACTAATCTAAAACACTAATAATCAAATCAGGGTACAATGTGTTTTCTTTAGTTTATTTCAAAATATTGATTATAAATACATTCTTAATATATTTTCTCCCCAACTCTTTGGATGCGATAATTAAAAAAAAAACCAAAACAAAAAATAAAACAAGCAAAATAAAACTGTGCTCATTTTGTACAATGTCAATGTTAAGGTCATGCAAAAGATATTATAGATTAGTATTATCGCCATACATTTCTAAATGTAATCTGTTATTTATGAAATACCTGTTGATGTTATTCATGAAGCCAGGCCCTGTATAATTTATGCATCTTTGTGGCTTAAGAAAATTAAATGTTTAAAAAAGCAACAAAATAAAGATGGTCTTAACTGATTTTCTAATTAATATATTATTCACTTTATTTATTCAGAGTGGAAAACTAAATATAGAATATAAATTCCCTTATAGACTTGAGTCACTTTACTTTAATAGCTGCTTTCTCATAAAATTACACAAAGATTTAATTTTAAAGAATTGAATCATCTTTATTGATTTCATAAAAAAATAATTTAAAACTTGATTTATCTTACACGGACACAATATATTATCTCAACCCCTTCATTAATTTCATAGGATCTAGTTTTATTTGCAACTGTTCTAACACAGTCCATACACATGAATATAATGCCAAGAAGCCCATGATGTGTCAGAACACATTAGAAATGAACACTTCTTGGATTTTCAAGATTTGAATCAAAGTTCTACTAAAAATGCTGTACCAATGTACATGTCATACCTCAAGGGGTTAAACTAACATCAAGGTTATAGTTGAAGCCAACAAAATGTAGATACAGTATTTTAACTGCTCTTGTACTCAACTCAGAACTTATACCTAACTACATTATCATAAAATGTACAAGTAGAACTAATGAGAGACAGGTGCAAAATAGTACACACTGTATAATGTAGGCACAATGACTTTAGTTAAGGAAAGTATATCAGCCTTAACCAAGGATTTGTTACTTTCATTTACAATTAGAACCTCCAAATAACCACAATTAAGTTACTTTAAAAAAAAACACTTTGAACATTTATACCTTTCAGCAGGAGTATGAAATAGCCAATATACTACAGCAAGCTTTGAGATGGTGGCAGGTAATCTTGCCATTGACAATTCTGCAGAAACCTTGAAATATCTTCAAAACACCACCACACTGAATAAAAGGCATCATCCCAATGACCTATTATCTCCAGATCATGGAGGGAGTTCTCTGGTTCCTCCCATAAGTGTCTATTTAAGATTCCTCAATCCATACTTTATTGACAGGATAAACTAAAACACTTCCTTTGAAGCCTTTGCATCTCTACCCTGTCAGTACGCATTAGGAGCCCTTTAATCCATGGATGCATGCATGCATGGTAATGGCATATTAAAAGTCCTTATGAAATTGCAGATGAAAACAAGCTGTTGAGCACATGTCTTATCATTTCTTTTGAGATCAGAAAGCAATTATTTGTTCGTATTTTTTTATATTCATATAAAGTTTTCACAGACATTGTCATGAAAATTAAAATTACACATTAAAGTTTTAAGAGCACCAGCACATACATATGGAGAATTTTTTCCTATTAAAAAAATCTCCGAATTATCTATATGTGTGAATATATATCCAAATACACACACATACACACACAAATACACACACAGACACACCTACCTCCATGAACGCTAATTTTTTGTTTGTTTTTATATCTTAGAACAAACACATAAAGCCCTGAAATTAATGCTTAACAGAGGGATTGCTGTTATAACTTTAGCCATAATATCATTTTGGAAGCTGCACCAAAACATCTGAAATTCATGAAGAATGACTATGTTCACCTTCTTGGTATATTTCTGATTAATATAGTAATTCATAAGAGATGGATACAAACACAAACATACAGGCGTACACACACACACACACACACACACACACAGGCCAAGAAGGCAATGTGTTTCTGGATATCACTTTGCCAATTAAGAGCTCCTAAAAATCTTCAATATCCCCTCTTATTAAATACTTCATTCCTTTCACCAATTTTTACATAGAACTTAACATTACAATAAAACTTGGGGGCATATCAGTTGCAGTTGCAGACTGTGAACTCATCTGAGACCAATGCAAGCATTTACAGTGTGGCTTTGACAGCCGAGCTTACCAAGATGTTTACAGTTCTACTAAATTATCTGACAGTAGTCAGAATGATGAAAGAACAGGATACTGATGCATACGATATTATTAACCTTAGTCATTAATTTTTTAAAATATTTGCAGTGAAAATTATTTGAATTAAGCTCATAGAATCCTGAAAAGCAAGACAACTGATGGCAAATAACAACTGCCCCAGACATAATACTATAAAACTAAGGAACCTATTTTAAAATGCACAATTGGTAACAAATCTGAAGATAATATGCTAAATTCACAAGAATAGCACAGAACTGGATTTTTTTTTTGTATTTTTGTTTCTTTTTTTTGTATGTTTTTTTTTTGCTTTTTCTGTTTTTAAATTTTACCTGATCACAAAGTCCAAAATATTTCTGTACACATTACCTTCAGTTTCAGTTTAGTATAGTTTACTATCTAAATTTATACTTACTGATAAATTCACCGTGATCAGGAAAACAAGTCAAGCATATTAAATACATATTAAGGAGTACATACTTTCCTATTTAGTATACAAAGTACTTCATAAATATGAATTATGTTACAAAAATAGCTTTGGGTGCGCTCACACGGTAAGCACTTTGCTAATTTGGGACAACCTTTAAGGATTGTGGGTATTTCACATAACTGAGAACAAACTCTAGTGTTAGTTTAATTTGAGCCACGTTTAATTCTGATAAACATCATGTATTTCTTCAGATCACCACAAATGCTATGGAACTCGTGTTGATTTTTTTTTCACTTTTAGGTTTTTATGTATAGACAGGTAATGCTTAGTGTGTTCAAATTTATTTTATAGTTATGTAATGCATGGTATATTTTAAACAAGTATTTGCACAATTTAACATTATAAATCCAGTGGTTTCAAGATGCAGGCCATAAAGATTACCAATTTACAAATACTATCGAGTGTTCTCTCTTTGCATGCTATTTTTTTTTACACTTTTCAGATAATCTTTACACAGAGTTGTTACAATGCCACAAATCAAAAGGATTATTCCAGTTCCACCAACTTAATCTACGTGCAAGATGAAGGACCCAGTTGAGGTACAAACACTGGTACCAGTTTTCTTGAGTTTGCTTTACAAAGCACAAAGAGACGAAGGTTTTGCATTGGGGTACAAAACGGATTTGCCTCTTGAGGTTAAATTCAGTGTATTTTGTGTATAAAGCATCCCTTTGGCAATAGAGTTTGCAGTATCCCCACAGGACTCCACAGTATAGGTTTTATGTAGTAAAATCTATTAAGGAAAGTCTCTTCTACTTGACACATCTTTGCAGCTACAGTTAATGAGACACCCTTGGAAACACCTGCCTCTATGCCTATTGATAATATAGTATTTGGAAATTAGGAGTCAACAAAAGGCACTTTCATCATTAAATAAATGTCCTCTGTATGAAGTTAGATTGCATGACCTATATCTTGTTCAAAGCTGTTTGCTCCTCAAGGACTTGTAGGTAGTCAGGGGAACTCTGAAGTTTCGCCTTCAGTTCAAAATACTCACTCTTCCTTTGTTCCACAACGATTTTACTGTGGTTGCCACCTATCAGGGACTTCTTGTTTTTTTTATCTTGTTGTTTTTCTGGATAGCGGATCTCAAAGCCACTGACACCTATGCTATTATACTCCTTTTTGCTTTCAAGAAAATTTTGAATAAATACATTGGAATCCCTGCTAGGGAATAATTCATCCAGCTCATCAATTGTGCTCAGTCTCTTCCTGGTATCCACATGTAATAAATCTTTCTCCTTGTCGGCAACATTTCGCATAATGACTTTCTGTCCCGGAGGATCTGAAAACATGAACCCGGTTTCTGACTCTTTCAAGCCACAGGTGTGGCTCTTGCTCATCTGTTCTATAGTTTGTGGAATGAAAGCTTCTGTGCTCAGTCCATCCTTTTTATTGGTTTTGTGGTCATGCTTCCTTAGCTGCAGCTGCATGGAGCCACACTCAGGATTCCCCAGCCCTTCGTGTTTCACGGTAGGTTTCTTGTTGCGTCGCAGCACAAAAACAAGAAGGCAAAAAGCAACAAAAACAGTTAAAATGAGGACCACTAAGATACTTAAGATTAAAATAGATAGAGGCACGGGGCCACCAGGAGGACTTCGAATGGGACCCAATGGAGTGGTGAATGTAATAGCAGGTGCAGGGCTTGTAAATGGTGCAGATGGCTTGTTTAAAAGTTTGGGACATAAGATTTCATTTTTGAGGGACTTCAGTTCAATATTGGCAAACTGAACAGGTGTCTCACATTTCAGTTCTTTCACAACAATTCCATCATTCAGCTTCTCCAGCCACAGCTTTAATGCCACCAAGTCACAAGTGCAGTCCCATGGGTTGCCCTCCAAGTCAATCTGTGTGAGAGACTGAAGTTGATCGAGGACCCCACTGACAGGGAGGTACATGAATTTGTTGTTCCTCAGATTCAGTCTAGCAAGGGGTGCTCCAGAAAAAATGTAAACAGGCAGGCTCTTTAAGAGATTATTATTTAAATACAGTAACTGCAAATTTGGCATGGAGTCAAAGGTGCCTGCTAAGATTTCCTTAATCAGATTGTATTCCAAATACAGATACTGCAGGTTATGAAGGCCTGAAAATATTTCCGGATAGAGTCTTTCAATCTGATTGCCATTGAGATACAACCTGCGTAAATTAGTAAGATTGTGGAATACATCTCCTTTGATCATTGTAATCTGATTGCTGCCTAAATGGAGCAAATCCAGTCCTTCGAACTCAGTGAAGTCTGAGATGTCCACATCTTTGATGCTATTGCCATTGACATGCAATTTCTTGGCATTTAAAGGTTTTGGTATCAGTTCAGACATGGACTGTATATTTTTCTCCTGGCAGTTCACGCTCAGTCCCAAGTCTGAAGGATGTGTTTTGCAAAAGCAAGGCGTCGGGCAAGGTGTTAGAGGAGGCACCCTTGTTTGGTAAGACACAATCTGACTGAGATTGCGGTTGGAGAGGGCTTTGCCTGCCACGATTCCAGAGATCTTGGAAGGATTTGTCGTTTTTGGTGGCTTGGTCACTAATCTGTGCAAGGATGTCTGTGTTGTGTGACCATTGGGAGTGGTGTAGCCATTTTCCAGTTGAGATGGAGGCAGGATACGCACATCAAAATCACTGCCTGTGCCCATGGGGCATAACTCTTGTTTGTTGGTTTCTTTTAACAGCCTTCCGTATAAGTCGCTAGGAGTTTCACAGATAGCTTCTCCTATGTAAATGTTATATGGCATGTTCTCCAGCCAAGCTTTTAAAGGCAACAAATCACAGCTACAGTTCCAAGGGTTATCTTCCAGTTGCAGTTCAACAACACGGCCAATGTGTTCCAGAACTCCAATATAGGGGAGCTTCTGGATTCTATTCCCTCGTATATCCAGATGGGTCAAAGATGCGAATCGGAAAATATTATCAGGAAGGAATGAAATCAGATTGTCATTAAGAATGAGAACTTTCAGTTTGTGGAGCTTATTGAAGGCTCCTCGTTCAATATACTTGATTAAATTGTAGTCAGCCTGGAGATACTCCAAGTTCTCTATGCCAAGGAAAGTGTCAGCTCGGAGAATCTTTAATTCATTGTTGTTCAAGTGCAACTGCTTTAATGCACTGAGCCCAAGAAAGGCTCCTCCCTCAATGTTCTGCAGTTTATTATTTCCCAGATGCAGGGATACTGCGTGTGAAAAATTCAAGAATGTATTTGGATAGAGGATATTTAAAAAATTGTTTTGGAAGTTGAGGTGATAAAAATTAGACCAAGGTGGTTTCAGCTGATTTGGTCTGTAGACTGAAACCTTCTCACAGTTGACATAGAGCACATTCTCAACTGACACGCAGGAGCACACATTGCAAATTTCCACCGATATGTCAGAATCTGCATTTGCCGAAGAAATCAGTGCTGACAAAATCAGAAAGAGCCAAAGAAACATCTTCTTGCAATCAGCAAAGAACTTTATGCTTCTGAATAAAGATAAATAATCTAAAAAATAAAAAGAAAACATTTTTTCAATGGTCATTACTTGAAAATTTTTGTTTAAATCATATTATAGTGAGCACATGGCTATAACTACTACCTTGTATTTTTTTAAAGCACCCAAAACTCCAAATATTTGCACTCAGTTGAACAACGGTCACCAAAATTGCCACATATTTTATTTCCATACATGTAGTTTATATAAAATTTACATGTGCTGTGTACACAACAAACAACAGAAAAGGAGATTATTAATCATACTTACATCTTAACAATCTGAATTTCTTTTTTACTTGACCTACCAAACCCTGCCCTTCCTATTTACAACTCAAATAGCCATCCCCTAGATCATGAAGTATACCACGTCCTTTGCACCACAAAGGCACTGCAATTAGTGGATATCTAAACTCTAGGCTTGTGTTAGATAGAGAAGCTGAGCAGAGCCATATTAGGGCCCAGGTTGCAAAGGAAGGTGGCAATAGAAGGACTGGATTGCTTAAAAGTCCTATGTAGAATTTGCCCTGCAAAAAGATATGCCTGAGCTTCAGCTCATAGGTAAGCAGGCTGCCATTAATCAGTTCACTCTTATACACTGCTACCTCCAAAAACACAGATGACCCTGTGGGTTCTAGAAAAACAACTGAGTAGGGTATGGCCAAATTTTGTTTTCAGGTGAATAAAATAAATAGCATCTAGTTGCCTGCCAGTCATCTTCCAAATAGGGGGTTAAAAGAAAGCCTATTGTCTTTGCATCCCTGAAAACAGGAGAAGAACCTGCTTGCTGTAGCATTGCTTAGCTGTGTCTCCAGGCAGCCTTTCACACCTAGAACTGGCTCTCCTGCCTGTCAGGCCCTCTTCTGTTCCTTTATTTGCCACATTGAACCCAGGTCCAACTGAAGTTTGTGTCTAATGCTTATATCCTTCACATTGACCATAGAATGCCCCTGCTGAGGAAGAGGAGTTCACACACTACAATTTGAGTAGCTTAATCTGCAGAACCACATACAACACATTTTCTTCCTAAAGGCATCAGTTCCCAAACACAATCACAATATTATCTCCCCATGTCCCTGTCTGTAAACAAATTATAACTTCTTGGTAGAGTTCAATGTTTAGCAAATTAACCAGTTGTAGCCCACTTCTTAAATAACATACACACACACACACACACACACACATTCATACACACAGTATTTCTGCTTCACAATAAATATGAAAAGGAACACAAACAGTGTGCATTCTATTGATGCAATTTTAGGTATGTGAATCTTTTCTTTTCCATCGTGAATGGAGAGCTAGCTGCAATTTCAATATGGTTACCACCAAATATTAATTAAATAAATAAAATACCCAGAAACACACAATGAGGGAATGATGCAAAAAATAAAGTGTCACACAGAAACTCCTTTGTTTATTTTGCTCACGAGGAATCAGCTAGTGGTAAAATGGAATATATCTCAAGGTAGACAATCCATTAAACCACCACTCAGGAAAATTTGCATTTTAAATAGTTTGGTATCAAATATAGCCAACACTGCTGAGATGCTACTTAGCTGCCATATAAAGGTGCCGTGCATTTCCCCTATTAACTATGAAGGTAAGATTGATATTTCAAAAAGAACTCACAATTCTTAAGTATGACATCACCCAAGCAAACTTTAATTGTAAAATCAAAATTTCACTTGATCTTTTTTACCTTGATGTGATTTTCAACAGCTATTTTGGTTCAGTTGAGTCATTTCTTGTTACTAACCATCACCACCCCCACCCCCAAAATGGGAAAACCAAAAAGCAACCAAACTAGAAAATAAAACAAATAAAAACCACCACCACCACCAACAACAACAACAAAAATCGAACCCGAATTCCGTATAAAAACAAGAACCAGCAGCATCAACAGATCTGAAAATGCATAAGGAGCTCCCCTCTTCCTAATAATTTCTACTTTAAGCAGCAAAGGGGAAAAAAGGCACAAGGACAAGCAAGGAAGTTGCCTAATACAGCTCTTGTGAAACAGAGGAAGCCGAAAGCAGCTGGAGGAGCAGGCAAGGAAGAGCGAGAGTCTGTCCGCCAAGGAGAGAGGGATAGAGGCACTGAAAGGGCAAGAGACATTGAGAAATGGAAAATGGGGGGGGGGGGAAGAGCTCAGAGAAGGGAGCTAGAAAGAGGATAAAAAGGGATACTGAATGTAAACGAAAAAAATACGCACATTGACATGGCACCGCTAAAGCATGCACTGAAATTGTGGGGGGGGGGAAGGGCAAAAAAGAAACAAAGTACGAGTTGGGTACCAAGAGCCATCTCTCAGGCTGCCAAGAGCAGTCTGTCTCCTTGTCTTTCCGTCTTTCTGTGCCCAGCAGGACGCTCAGATTCCGCTGCCGGCCAGACTGCACAAAACCTAGCCCTACCACAATTTTGGCATACACCAACAGATCCCCGCCTGGCGCTCAGCGCCCAGGAGGTGGGAGCTTGCCTACCGGGGACACAGCACAGGCAGCAGCGTCGGTGGATCGAGGTGGCTCCCCCGGAGCTGACATGGGAAACCTGCGGGTCCCCCTCGGGCAAGGGTAGCGGTGTAGGGAGTCCACGTAGAGACTCAGTCGCTAGCGTCCCCTGTGCGCTACTTCGGGCCGGCGACGCGGTTGGAGGGGCCACTGGCGCTGGCGCGTACCGCAATGTTTTGCCGCAACCCGGTGCCCGGAGCCGGCGCGCAGCCCCCTCCCTGGTTCCTAGTCCAAGCAGCAGCCTCGCGGGCAGGGTGGCGGAGGCGGGGTACTGTGCGAGATGTCGCGGGGGCCTTCAGCCCGGCTGCGCACACATTTCCCAGCGCGCTCTCGTCCCACAAGGGGTAGCTGCTGGAGTTTCCTTTGGCCTTTCTAGACCTTGGGGTGCAGTGCGTTAGGAAGAAAAGAAGATAACTAGCCCCAGTCGCGAGGGCGATGGCACTGGGATGTCACCGATCCGTTTGCCACAGGCAGAGTGACCCAGTCGCTACGTGGCCGCGGGAGAAGGCTCAGGCTCCCCTTGCCCGCCACCCCCCTCCCATGGCCAGCTTCACAAAACTGCTCACCAAGCCAGAAATCAGCTCAACATTTAAGCGCCTTGCAAAGTCGCGCTGCGAGCGCTGGACCCGGCTTTGCAGGGCTTTTAGAGTTACCCACCGACTCCTCCTTTCGAATTCCCGTCTTGGCGAGTCCCAGCAATCTCAGACCAGCCCTTGGGCCACTGCCTGGAGCCCCACATCTACGTCCGCGCAGAGTGCCTGAGAGTAGGGTGCAGAAAACAAAGCCCAGCACAGCGCAGCGGCCCCACCAGCCCGAGCTGCCAGATGCCAAAGACCAGGACACTTTCCCTGCCACCCCCGCCGCCCAGGGGGCAGGGATGCTAAGGGCACCCGGATTCCTTCGGTCCTCTGGGACAAGCGACAGTGCTGTGGGCAAGCAAGTGGGAGGTGTGTGTGGGATAGCTAACACATCCACTTCGGCCACGCAACCGGCCCCAAACCAACAGGACTCAAACTAAAAATAATAAGCTACCTGCCTCCCTTCACGCGGGCGCGCGCACACACATACACATGCGCGCGCGCGCACACACACACACACACACACACACACACGGACACACAATGACAATCCGTGCTGGGAAGAGAACGCCCGTGTCGCTGCAGCTCGTGCAGTCCTCAATGGAAATTCACCCACCTCTGGAGCCCAGCGCCTAATGCGGAGCCCTTCGCGCCAGGACTGGAGCAGCAGTTTCCGCGATTGTCTCTACGTGATCTGGGATCCAGCTTTTCTGCGCCCGCTCGCGGGTCAAACCCACCGAGCAGCTCTAGCAGGCGAGCAAGCGGGCAGCGGCGCGCGCGCGCACCCGGCCAGACACCGCGCGCGCACCCAGACCCTCGCACACGGGCTGCACCTTTACATACAAGCGCTGAATCCCCGCCCCCGCCCCCGCCCCCGCCCCCGGGCACTCACGCAGCCCTCCCTCCCAACGCTCAACCACTTCGACCCCCCCCCAACATTCGGGATCCGCCAGTCCCCTACCCCAACACCCCCTCTTGATTCCTCTTCTACCCACACACCAAGAAAGCTTGCGCGCTTTCCTTCTGGCATCCGCCCCCTCTTTTGCCTAAAACACCCCTAGGGAGGAGCGACCCCTATCCTCAAGAATAGAGACCCCAGTTTCCTAACGCGGGCGCACTAGCCTCCATCCACCCCCGCCACCACACACGCACACTACAGTCTTTTCTCTTCCCCAGTCTCCTAAGAAGGAACACACACACACACACACACACACACACACACACACACGGAGCGTTCCTTTGAGAGAGCAATCAAGAACCCAGGAAAAGCCAAAGAAACATTGGAGAGCTGGGGGGAGGGGAGCCAAGGGAGATAGGGTCGTCGAGTCTACGCGGAATTGAATAATTCCAGGATGGAGGGGGGTGAGTCAACAACAATGACATTCAAATACGACAATCTCACTTGGGTTTTGTATCTCCGGTAAGGTACCTTTGGCTAATAGTCACCCTGCAGATCTGAGAGCTCCGAGAATACTTCTTGGTAGCCGGCGATCCTGGATGGAGCCTTCTTGGGACCAGTTTTCTGGGATCCAGTAGTATTCGCACTCCCCCTACCTGTCTGCGTGTAAGGGGCCGGGGGCTTTAAGGTAAAAGTGTGAGGCTTTAGCTCAAAGTGAGACTATTTAGTAGAGTTAGAGGCAGATGGGTTAATCCTCCGCATTTTAGAATTCTGAGAGCACTGGGCATTTGGCATAAAACGGGTTAAGCAGGATGATTAGGGAACTGGGGGTGGGGAAAGGGGTAGGGGGAAAAGGGGTGTGGGAGTGGGAGAGATGCCGCACTTGCGACCAAAAGAAAAAAAAAAATCTGCTCTGGCTACTGAGCATGCCCAGTTCCCAGCTCAAGCCCTATAAGGGAGGCATTGTGTGCGTTCCACTTCTCCGGGCTTTGGTGGTGACCAGGAGGGGATTTAGATGGGGGTGGGGGGCTGGGGGGTAGATAGGAGACTTTAGGGAAGGGGGTGGGGGAGATCAGTTTTGAAGCTGTGGGACTGAGCTGGAGGGACCTTGGAGAGGGAAGGGGAAGGGCCCTCACGGGATTCATTGGGGAGACAGAGGTGAGGAAATGAACTAAGAAAAGTCACTTCAGTAAGCCCCTTATTGTCTATATCAAAGGAGCTTTAGTAGCTGAGTCTGAAATATCCAGAGGTTGCAGATCCAGCCTATGGATTTTCTAGGCCCCTTATACCCATTTGTTAGTGCTGCCATGAAAAGGTAGGAATAACCCCAGGGAGGGCCGATGTTCAAACCAGTTTAATGAAGATTGGTAATTTAGTTAATAAACTTAAGAAAACAAATAAACCCAGGGAAGGGGTCAGAGGACTTTTGCTGTCATGCATGCCTTTTCAAATACCTGGCTTACCTTTTGTTCCCTACCTCCAACCATGCTGTTTTTATAGGGTGCTTGGCTAAGAAGAACAACTCTTTCTTTACTTTGTATCTTTGAGAATAAACTGGCTTTAGGTAAATGGGGCGAAGTCATAACCAGGAAGTATCCCGTTTGCCACATTTCAAATACTACAGCCAGCTGATTTCTTCAGGACCCATGTTCTGCCCACTTCACTTATTCAGATTCCATTGAGTATTGCCAATATCCAGAGATGTTTTCTTTCTTTCTTTCTTTTTTTGTTTAAAAATGAAAAACTCTTTAAGCTAAAACTAGCAATAGCTTTGAAACCAGAATTTGGCTGTCTGCCTGAACTCCTACAGTTAAACATTTACCATTGATGTTTAAAGGTCCAAATCTAGGCAAAAATATCTGATGGGCAAAGGGTTTATTATATTTTTGTCAATAATGTCCTATCTTCTATATTGTCTGTAATATCTGTTCATATATACTTTATCATTTTTGCCATTTTCATCATTTCATGAAACTGCCTTCCAGTTATATTTATGCAAATGTTGGTTGGGAACAGCATGTATACAGAGATGCACATACAATATTTAGGTAGATATGCATATATAGGCATATTTCTTTATGACCTTAGCAAATAGTGCATCCTTTATAAAGAACCCTTTCTTCACCCCCTGTCCCATTGCCTTGAAAAATTTCATCTTCTCTTTTGAAAACAACCTAGAGACAGAAGCAATGGTAGAGTGGGAAGCAATGGTAAAATGTGCTGTATTCAATGTGAAACCCATTATGAAATAGTATTGCTTATTGAAACACTAAAGGATTAGTCCATAACAACATATATACTTGTGCAGCTCCTCTTAGTGAGGTGAAATGTTTCCTCCATAGGTAACAGCTGCAGTGTGTTGAAAAATCCCATTACTGTTGTACATTTGAACAAAACAGATCCTTCTAATTAAGAACTCACATTTGCATTATATTGCATAATGAAATTTGGAAGTGGTAATGGATACCAAAACAAGTTGGCATTTATTCTAAATGCAAAGGATTCAGGAAGCTACAATATATTTTATCAGGATAGGTGAATTGTTTGTCCTTTACTATAAATGTTAACAAGATTCAATAGAATGAGCAAAAAAATTACCTGAAAATATAATGCACAAAGTACCATGATAGCTGAAAAGGCCAGATTTGGACAGTAAATATCAGATGATTTAAATGCCTATCTTTATTCAACTTTAAAAACTGTTCTGAGACTTGGATATATTTAACTTTAATAACTGTGTAATGGTATTTTTTCATATGGGTATGAAAGCGAGTGTAGCTAGAACACTGATAAATTGCCATTAATAATAATGCAAAGAATTTATCAATGATTAATATTCAACTCATTAAAATGGATGTTTAAAAAATTAAGTGGACACAATGTAAAATACAAGAAAAAACTTCCATGTTTTATGCTTCTTTTACTTTTAAAGTAACTTAAAAATTCAATCCTTGAGTCCTACAGTCTTTTTTCCACCACCTAGATCTATATGTGACATCCACATAGAACAATAGTGAACTAAGGGAAATTGCTAGCTTTAAAAAGGAAGTAAATACATAAAAAAACAAAAGTGTTAAGAAAACTCTAGCAATATATATGATGATATTGAACCAAAAACAAAGTTGATGTTCCTCAAACGTATGAATGTAAAACTGATCAAATTTGTAATAACCTCTTTGAGTTTCTCCAGATGTTCTATTGAGCTTAATCTTGGCTTTGCAGGAATATACCTGGAACCATAGGGCTATTCTGATATATTGTGCCTCCTTCCTTCAGGGAAAATAAACAATTGCACCAGGAATTTCAACAATTCTAAAGGCAGTTTAAGTCATTAAAACACTATGAACACAAAATGATTATCATGCCAATGAGTCTTGGCCCTAATCAGTGGTCTTTACCTTTCTTAGTATCCCTTATTTATTTTACCTTGTCTTACTACTATTTAGCCTTAACTTTTGTATCTAGGTGTCATAGATCACTCAATTTAATATTGAAGATTCATTTATCTTCTGGCATTTTAATAATCATGAACTTGGCATTTTGTATTTTTTGGAATACAAAAAAAGTTCTTAGGTTGTTAATACATCTGGGAATAGCCATTTCCATGATCAAATAAATTTAAAAGATCCTTGGTTCCAAACAGCTAGCCATATTTCTTAACTTTCTAAACATTTAATTATATTAAAGTGAATTTTTATCTACCAAGGGAAAATGATATGATACATAACATTTAACAAACTGATTTGTCAGTAGAACTCATTTTTTATTATTACATTGTGAGAAATTTGGGCTATTGTATTTATTTATTTGGGCTATTGTATTTATTTATTTATTTTGCAAATTTTGTAGAATGTAGGAGCTGAAAGAGAGCTTTCAGGTCATATTTTAACCCATATAATGGTAGCTACTACCTATTGAATGCTGCTGCTCAGTCATGTTATCTACAAATATTATTTTATTTAGTCCTATAAGCAAGGGAAAAAATCATTATTCTTCTTTAAAAAGATGTTCAGGGGGGCTGAATAATTTGTCTGAGCTTACATCCTGAATAAGTGATAGTCAGATCTTTCAGGTCTTTCTGCTTCTCCACAATTCTTTTCCAGTGGGGAATCAAGACACTTTTGACTTTGAAAGCAGAATAGATTTGAAAGCACAAAGGATTTTACAAATGTAAATACTTGGGACATAAAAGTTTGCTCATATTAAAGTATCAATACTTAGCATAAGAAATAAACTAATACAAGACGTGAAAAAACAGTTCTCAACTATACATGACAGAGCATCTTAAATCAACTGGTTTTGATTCGGGAATCTTTGATGATGTCTCAATTGTCCCTAACAAGGGACAATTTTGCTACTGCCAAATGGAAGAATATAAAGGAGTAATGTTCTTCCTCAGACTTATACCAGAGTTAAGGCAAAAAAAAATGTTATCCAATAGGATACCAAGTGAGTTGGAAAATATGATGTGTTAGTTGATCATTTAATTATATCAACTACCTTGTTCTTCCTTTCCCCACAGACTTCATTATGGTGCAGCTAGTAACCTGTTGTCCTTTTCAGAAGCTAAAGTGTCAGTTGTTAACAAAGTCTGTCCACTCCAGTCAGTGGCTGATGTTTCACTTGATATTTCATTCACAAGTTATTATTTCTAGAAGAAGAATAATAGTGTGTGTTGTGTTGAAGGATCATGGTAATTTTGGCTTATCGGTAGTACTTGTTCATTTGGGCCACTAGTACCACCTATACTGTCTTTAATGTCATTTATCCTAAGCCACATATTCTCACATAATAGCATCTCTGTTTTATTTTCTTTCTTGTGTCCTCTATTTGGAGAAATCACATCTTACTCACTGTGAAAGATTGGGGCCAAGAAACAAGCTCAACTGCCCTCAGACAACTTGAAGATAATAACGATCATAAAATAAAACATAGGAAGTTAATAGCTAAAAAATCTACCTTGAGAATTATTCTCATGGTCTGTGTATGTTCCATAACAATCAACCAAAGCTTTGTCAGAGAG